TTGACCCTCCGCCCGCCCACTCATCCCTCTCTCCTTCTCCCTTCCTGGGGTAAAAATTAATACTGACATATACCTGGACGTTTTTTTTTTCACTATAGATTATACCTCTCGTCCTTCTTCCTGGGGTAAAAATACTCTCACGGCGCTAGGTTCAGGGGACAGATTCACTAGACTATACCCCCTTTCCCTTTACTTGTACTAGAAATGCATATACAGTAGAGTTCTCCGATGCCGTACGAGTGTAAACAGCACATTAGATATATCTCTGTCCCCTTTATATACATTGGGTAATAGGACACTAGATATAGGTGTTGATAGTGGCGTGTGGTGGAGATAGCAGTTTTTTTTTTTACGAGAGTTGGCCCACAGGCACAGGTCAAATGACTCTCTGTGGGGGAGGGTGGTGGTGCGGAAAAATAAGAACAGAAAAAAAAATTTAAACTAGAGAAGAAAAAGGTTATACTGTTAATCTTCACCACGAAGGCATGGTGGAGATAGCAGGTACTTGCTCCCCCTCACTTTCTCTTCCCTAGTTCCCAACCTTTTCAGTGGAATTTTTCTTAAGTTACCTGTCATTGTTTTGAATTTACCTGGTCTGGAATGTGTGGTATGTATGTGTGTGGACAGTAAATTAAGTGTGACGTGACATGGCGTGGGTGTGTGTGTGTGTGTGTATTAAGGGGCGGGGGGGGGGGTGTGGCCTACAAAGGTGGATCAGGTTACGTGTGAGCCGCTTGTTGTGGTCGAGACTCGTGACACCCTGCCTGTTGGGGGGCGTTGTGCTCATGATACACTGTACGTCTCCCATGATGCTGTGTGGCAGGGCCAGGAAGGGTGTGGCAGGGGCAGGAAAGGTGTGGCAGGGGCAGGAAGGGGTGTGGCAGGGGCAGGAAGGGGTATGGCATGGTCAGGAAGGGGGTGTGGCAGGGGGCAGGGAGGCTATGATAGGGGCAGGAAAGGAAGGGTGTGGCAGGGGCAGGAAGGGTGTGGCAGGGGCAGGAAGGGTGTGGCAGGGGCAGGAGGGTGTGGCAGGGGCAGGGAAGGAGGTGTGGCTTGGCAGGGGCAGGGAGGGTGTAAGCAGGGTCCAGAAGGCTATGGCAGGGGCAGGAAGGGTGTGGCAGGTAACCACGGACCCAGTATCTCTCTTGTTGAGTCTTGCCAGTTCAGGTATTGTGCTGCCTGAGGAGGACACACACACACACACACACACACACACACGAAAGGTATCCCCCGCCATCATTTTTCTAGGTAATCCTGGGTCAGTAAGAGTTTTTGGGGAGGGAGGGGGGGGGGGGTAGATATTGCATCACTAAAAAAATCAGATTTGATCAAGCGAACGTTTGATTATATTTGTGGGTGATGTTGGTGTGAGAAACAATACAATATGTACATTTTGTTAATTCCCCTTATTTATTTATTTATTTATTTATATCCTACTGACGTAATTATCAAGGAAAATATAAAATTGACTTGAGTCCTTACTGCACTGAAGTCAACAAGCCGTGTATCAACACAGGTATGTACTGTAAGATAAGGTGGTTGAGATAACATAGATAACGCCGCCAGTACCACCTACAGGCTTCACGGTGCACCACCCGTACTCGTGTTTATGTTGTCTATTACATGACTATCAAGGTGGGAAATAGGTGTAAAAAATCTAACCTAACCTAACCTAACCTAACATATTCTATTGTGTGTTGATGACATACCGGGGTTATTCACTTGGGTATTGTTGGTAGATTTATATGATGTATACTGTGCGTGGCTTAGTATGTGGTAAACAATACTGTACAGTTACGTGGTTACAGTCATGCACCCTAAGTGATTTCATGGTACGGGAGAGTGAGTAATTTGTATGTCCGGTCAGGGCGGGAGCTGATATCAGTTAAGGTGTGTGTGTGTGTGTGTGTGTGTGTGTGTGTGTGTGTGTGTGTGTGTTAGTGGCATACGTCATGAACACATTGTACCCAGGACCAAGGCGCCCCCACCAGCAGTAGCTTCCCCACCAGCAGTAGCTTCCCCACCAGCAGTAGCTTCCCCACCAGCAGTAGCTGCCCCCACCAGCAGTAGGCCCCCACCAGCAGCTGCCCCCCACCAGCAGTAGCTTCCCCACCAGCAGTAGCTTCCCCCACCAGCAGTAGCTGCCCCCACCAGCAGTAGCTGCCCCACCAGCAGTAGCTGCCCCCACCAGCAGTAGCTGCCCCCCACCAGCAGTAGCTGCCCCCACCAGCAGTAGCGCTGCCCCACCAGCAGTAGCTGCCCCCCACCAGCGAGCTGCCCCCACCAGCAGTAGCTGCTCCCCACCAGCAGTAGCTGCTCCCCACCAGCAGTAGCTGCCCCCACCAGCAGTAGCTGCCCCCACCAGCAGTAGCTGCCCCACCAGCAGTAGCTGCCCCCACCAGCAGTAGCTGCCCCCACCAGCAGTAGCTGCCCCCACCAGCAGTAGCTGCCCATCAGCAGTAGCCAGTGGACCACGACAACAATAACATTCTTTCCCCCACGTCGTGCAGGGGTCTCCCCTTTGATCGTACACAAGTTTTCTTTGAGGATATTTGTATTATTTTAGACTCGCGTGGGTTTTGTTGTTTGTCTTCACGGCCGAGGTTATTGTACCTAAGATTGGGTGGTTGTAATAGTTGTATAAACAAGACTCAGAGAGGGTGGGTTAGGTACGTGTGTGTGGGGATATATGGAGACTGGGTTTTTTTTTTTTTATTTACTGGGCACTCCCTACATCCTTGTGTAGGTGAAGCGTTTAGCACCCAACAGGAAGCATGCTAGTTCATGCTTGCCTTTTGTCTCATGAGTTAAGGGCGTAGAAACCTGAAGAGTCAATGGTTTATGTCTAAGCAAGTTATTGAGCTCCAACAACTTGTCCTGAATGCTAATTCGCACTTTCGATTTACAGCTGGTAATAGTGAGAGGGTCAGCATACTCGCCCGCACGTAAGTGATCCGGGTTTCGATCTCCGGGAGGCTGACACAATGATCCAGGTTCTTTACGCGCTAATTACCTCCGTTTACCCATCTGTGGTGGGAACCTAGATGTTTAATCAATTTTCAGGTCGAGTTCCCTTTCGGTTTGGGTTAGCCAGTGCAGTTAACGAGTTGTCCGGTCGATTTGGTGTTACTCCTCTATAATAGGGTCATAAAACTTTGCTCGGTGTGGTGTGCGGCAGTTTGTTGTACCTTAGGTTAATAAATTCACATGTATATTTTCGCTCTATCAGTCTGTTATTACACCACAGACGCTCTCAAGTTGACTTTGTTAGCGTCAACCAGCTACACAAACTGTTCATGGTAATGGCGACCTCTCTTCTGTGATAAACTTTAATGTGTGTATGTTTTGGAAGCGTGTTGCATGACGAGAGCTCTTAAATTCGGACTCTGTTGTTGTGATTATGAAGTGGTGTGTTTACTCTCCCGTCACACTGTGTATATATGATTTCCTGCGCCACCTGGTTGTAACAACAGGCGTTATTGTGACATAGCTCATAGCCTGTGACGTCATCTCTCATCTTGGGGAGATTCTCACCCCCTCCCCCCAATAACAAAAAACGTGGGTTTATTACTGGCTGTGAGGTTTATGTAGCGTACTGTAGTTTATGAGGACTATATCACCCAAGAGGAATCTGTGGGGAGGAACAACACAACAACGGCAGGGGTGACGGGTGACAGCTGGTAAATTCTGTCAGATAAACCACCACCACACCTACCACCACCACCACCACCACACCTACCACCACCACACCACCACACCACCACCACCACCACACCCACCTACCACCACACCTACACCACCACCACCACACCTACCACCACACCACCACACCACCACCACATCCCACCACCACACCTACCATCCACCACACCTACCACCACACACCTACCACCACCACTACACCTACACACACCACACCTACCACCACACCCACCACCACCACCACCACCTACCACCACCACACCTACCACCACCACCACCTACCACCACCACACACCTACCACCCACCACACCTACCACCACCACACCTACCACCACCACCCACCACCACACCTACCCACCACCTACCACCACCAACACCACCTACACCACCACCACCACCTACTACACACACACCACCACCACCTACCACCCACCACCAGCCACCACCACCACTCCCACACCTACCTGCCACCACCACAACCTCACCACCACCTGCACCACCACCACCCACCCCACCCAACCACCTACTGCCACCCACACACCACCACCTACCACCACCACCTACCACCACCTGCCACCACCTACCACCACACCTACCACCACACCTGCCACCACCACCACCACCACCTACCACCACCACCTACCACCACCACCTACACCTACCACCAACCTCACCACCTCCACCACCACCACCACCTACCACCACTACCACCTACTCCTACCACCACCACCTACACACACCTACCCACACCCACCACCACCACCACCTACTACCACCACCACCTACCTCCACACCTACCACCACCACCTACACCACCACACACACACCACACCTGCCACCACCACCACACCTCCACCACCTACCACCACCCCTACCACCACCACCACCACCACCACCCTACCACCACCACACCTACCACCACCACACCTACCACCACCACACCTACCACCACCACCTACCACAACCTACCACCACCACCACCTACCACCACCACCACCTACCACCACCACCTGCCCCACCACACCTGCCACCACCACTACTACCACCACTACCTCCTCCACCACACCTACCCACCACCACCCTACCTACCACCACACACCTACCACCACACCTACCACACCTACCACCACACCTCTCCACCACACCTCCACACCTACCACCACCACCCACCACCACACCTACACACCTACCACCACCACCTACCACCACCACCCACCACCACCACCACCTGCCACCACACCTACCACCACCACCTACCACCACCACACCTACCACCACCTCACTGCCACCACACACCACCACACCCACCACCACCACCACCACCACCACACCACCACCACCACCACCACACCTACCACCACACCTACCACCACCACACCTACCACCACACCACACCACCACCACACCTACCACCACACCACCACACCACACCACCACCACACACCTACCACACCACCACCACACCTCACCACCACACCTACTACCACCACCACCTACCACACCACCATACTACCACCACCACCTCCACCACCCCACCACCACCACACCTCCACCACCACACCTACACCCACCACACCTACCACCACCACCACCACACCTACCACCACACCTACCACCACCACCACACTACCACCACCACACCTACCACCACCACCACACCTACCACCACCACCACCACCACACCTACCACCACACACCCACCACCACCTACCACCACACCTACCACCACCACACCTACCACACCACCACACACCACCACCACCACACACCTACTCACCACCACCACACCACCACACCACACACCACCACACCTACCACCACACCACACCACCACCACCTACCACCACCACACCTACCACCACCACACCTACCACCACCACCACCACCACACCTACACCACACCACCCACCACACCTACCACCACACCACACCTACTGCCACCCACACACCACCACACCACCTACCACCACCACACCACCCACCTACCACCACACCACCACACCACCACCACCACACCTACCACCACCACCACCCACCACCACCACCACCCCCCACCACCCCCCCCTCCCACCACCACCACCACACCACCACCACACCTACCACCACCACCACCACACCACCACCACACTACCACCACCACCACCACCACCACCACACCCACCTACCACCACCACCACCTACCACCACCACACCTACACCACCACACCACCACCACCACCACACCTGCCACCACCACCACCACCACACCTACCACCACCACCACCACCACCATCCCACCACCACCACCACCACACCACCTCCACCACCACCACACCTACCACCACCACCACACCTACCACCTACCACCACCACCTACCACCACCACCACCACCACCACCTGCCACCACCACACCACACCACCTCCCACCACCACCACCCACCTGCTCCACCCAGAATCGTTACACTAAAGTTGTTAACCGTTAACCGCTGTTATATCACCGTGATAACAGTGCCCACTTAACCCCCCATAGCACTAGACTGTCTGGATCTGTTTGTCATCAGGAATTTACCTAAACAGTCTTATGGGCCGTTTGTCTTCCCAGTTATTAGAGATATTGGGTTATTTTTATAGCATGTGATGAGTGTAGTAGTGGTTACAGATAAGTGGTGGTAAGAGTGGTAGTAGAAAACAGATTGTGGTGGTTACAAAATGGGAATGATGATTGGTGTGATGTGGTGTTAGAAAGGCAATTGTGGTGGTTACAAGTGAATAGTGGTTAGTGTAAAGGTTGAAGTAGTGTTAATAATATACACACACACACCCACACACATACCACACACACACCACTTTTTTATAACACTTGATACCCCACAGGAAGGAAGGAAGAGGGAAGGGGAAATGTTAGCCGTCTTGGGAATATTTAAAAAAATAATAACTGGAATATTTTGTCGGAATAATAATGTAGAATATTGTTGCTGGCTTTGTAATGATTCAGGCGGTATTTTTATCTCCTCGCTGAAATGAAAAAAAAAAGAAAAATAAGAACAAAAATCGGGGAGTGTTTTGGTCGACGTGACGTGGCGGATATTTTCCTTCCTGTAAGCGTTCACCCGTCACATGTTTAAACTCAATTTATATTTTTATTTTGTATTGTATCTTACCGTGTTATATTATAAGGCATGTTGTGTGGCTTTGTTATATTGTAAGTTAGGTTAGGACCGCAGCGCCCAAAAGCGGAAGCCTGAAGCGTATATTGATATTGAAACTTTATTCAGTCAGAAAAACAGATACAGAGACGATAATAACAATATTAACATGGCTGAGCCAGTTGAGATACTGAGGTCTCTTGAAGGCATCTGGTATAACTCGTGACGTCACCACTATCTTACAGCTCACCAAACATTATCAGAAAAGCGACTCACAAAAACCATCTTTACGCTGATTTAACATAACCCAAGTTTGTCATTTCTATCAGTCAGGTCATTAAGGTGTTTGGGTGATAGTGATGTGTTAGTTATTAGTGAATAGATTTTGAAAAGCATGCAGATAGGTGGGAGGTATCATGCTGGTGGGTGGCAGGATGGGGATGCAGGTGGGTGGCAGGATGGGAGGGGTATCATGCTGGTGGGTGGCAGGATGGGAGGTGTATCATGCAGGTGGTGGCAGATGGGGGTATCATGCAGGTGGGTGGCAGGATGGAAGGGGTGATCATGCAGTGGTGGCAGGATGGAAGGTATCATGCAGGTGGGTGGCAGGATAGAAGGGTATCATGCAGGTGGGTGGCAGGATGGAAGAGGTATCATGCAGGTGGGTGGCAGGATGAAGGGGGTATCATGCAGGTGGTTGGCAGGATGGAAAGAATATCATGCAGGTGGTGGCAGGATGAAGGGGTATCATGCAGGTGGGTGGCAGGATGAAGAGGTATCATGCAGGTGGGTGGCAGGATGGAAGGGGTATCATGCAGGTGTGGTGGCAGGATGGAGTATCGTGGGGTGGGTGGCAGGATGAAGAGGTATCATGCAGGTGGGTGGCAGGATGGAAGAGGTATCATGCAGGTGGGAGGGGTAGGTTACATTTAATTAACCTTGGGAAACACTTAATCCTCTTAGCCTCGGGGTGGATGCTAAGCCAGCTAGGTCATGTAGTGATGACTCGTGACCCAGTGACGGTAGCCAGGCGGTGTGACAGAGGCGGCGGTGGTGAACGGCCATCATTGTGCTGAGGAGGTTGTGGTGAAGGGTGACGATGTGGGTGACTGAAACAATTATACAGTAGAATGTGTACTTATATTCGTGTCTTAAGTAAGTTATATATCTGGTCACGGAAGGATTTTGACCTGGTAATTGTGAAGGTTATTGAGTGATCATCTTAATAACCACGGGACTCGTGGGGTCATCCTCAGGTAATTAAGTTAAATTTAGCATAATTTGTGGTGTGTGTGTGTGTGTGTGTGGCATATAAGATGAGACATTCCTCGGCTGCCTTGTTTGCACCACTACCAAACATCACTCCTCAGGATAAACAAGACCAAGCAGTTTATCCCTTAAGATTACTTTACGTTTACAATACTTCACCAGCCTGGTAAACTCTCCCACAAGGCGATGATTCACACTAGGGCGGCCGGGTAGGTCCCGCACTCACTATAAATACAAGTTGATGATGAGGAGTCAGGCTGATAGCCAGGTTGGGCCAGATTGGTCACCACCTGTGTAAAGGTAGTAGCTGGTGCTGGCGATACCGTTTACAGTTAGAGGTCACGGCAGTCACGAGCGCCTCCTCATATGTTACCAATGTTGTCACTTGTCATGTTATCCCAGACACTTGGGACGAATGGGTGTATGTATACAGGTAAGGCCAGGAGAGGTACTGTCCTTGGCACTGACACACACACACCTTTAAATTCTATGTGTATTTTTTCCTGGACAAAAGAGATGCGTCCGGTTTATGTTGTCTTGTGTTGTAGTGTTGCGTCAGGATGTTTATGTTGCATCATGTGTTTTTCTTGTGTTGTAGTGTTGCGTCAGGATTTCCTTTTTTTTATGTTCTCTAACCTAACCTAACCTTAATAATATAACCTAACCTAACTTGAAGAGTGAGGGGGTGATGGAAGGCCGGAGGGGGGAGTGAGGGGATGAGATAGTAAGATGCGTGTAAGCACTAGCAGAGAGAGAGAGAGAGAGAGATGCCTCCCCAGCCCACTAATTATAGCGACTACTGCCCGCCTCACCTGGGGTATAGGCGCACGCCACTAGACTTGAGGTTAGTGGTAGAAGCAGTGGTGGTGATGGTGGCAGTTGTTGGCAGAATACGGACGCTTGCCTGCCCATACCAGATTTACCCAGTTTGTACCACCATTAGTACTTCTCTTCTTCCTTGTTCTCCTCCTCCTCCTCCTTCTTCTCTTCTTCCTTGTTCTCTCTCTTCTTCTGTTCTCTTCCTCCTTGTCCTTGTCCTCCCTCTTCTCCTCCTTGTCCTCTTCCTCCTCCTTGTCCTCTTTCTCCTCCTTGTCCCTTCCTCCCTCCTTGTCTTTTCTCCCCTCCTTGTCCTCTTTCTCCTCCTTGTCTCCTCTTTTCTCCTCCTTGTCCTCCTTCTCCTCCTTGTCCTCTTCCTCCTCCTTGTCCTCCTTCTCCCTCTTGTCTCCTTCCTCTCCTTGTCCTCTTCCTCCTCTTTGTCCTCTTCCTCCTCCTTGTCCTCTTCCCCTCCCCTCCTTGTCCTCTTTCTCCTCTTTGTCCTCTTTCTCCTCCTTGTCCTCTTTCTCCTTGTCCTCTTTTCCTCCTTGTCCTCCTTCTCCTTGTCTCTTCCTCCTCCTTGTCTCCTTCTCCTCCTTGTCCTCTTCCTCCTCCTTGTCCTCTTCCTCCTTCCCCTTCCTCTTCCTCCTCCTTGTCCTCTTTCTCCTCCTTGTCCTCTTTCTCCTCCTTGTCCTCTTCCTCCTCCTTGTCCTCTTTCTCCTTGTCCTCTTTCTCCTCCTTGTCCTCCTTCTCCTCCTTGTCCCTCTTCTCCTTGTCCTCTTCCTCCTTGTCCTCTTCCTCCTCCTTGTCCTCTTTCTCCTCCTTGTCCTCCCTTCTCCTTGTCCTCTTCCTCCTCCTTGTCTCTTCCCTCCTCCTTGTCCTCTTCCTCCTTGTCCTCTTCCTCCTGCCCCTTCTCCCTTCTCCCTCTTGTCCTCTTCCTCCTCCTTGTTCCTCTTCCTCCTCCTTGTCTCTTCCCCTCCTTGTCCCTCTTCCTCCTTGTCCTCTTCCTCCTCCTTGTCCTCTTCCTCCCCTTGTCCTCTTCCTCCTCCTTGTCCTCTTCCTCCTCCTTGTCCTCTTCCTCCTCCTTGTCCTCTTCCTCCTCCTTGTCCTCTTCCTCCTCTTTGTCCTCTTCTTCTCCTTGTCTCTTCCTCCTCCTTGTCCTCCTTCCTCCCCTTGTCCTCTTCCTCCCCTCCTTCCTCCTCCTTCCTCCTTGTCCTCTTCCTCCTCCTTGTCCTCTTTCTCCTCCTGTCTCTTCCTCCTCCTTGTCCTCTTCCTCCTTGTCCTCTTCCTCCTCTGTCCTCTTCTCCTCCTTGTCCTCCTTCCTCCTCCTTGTCCTCCTTGTCCTCTTCCTCCTCCTTGTCCTCTTCCTCCTTGTCCTCTTCCTCCTTGTCCTCTTCCTCCTCTTCCTCCTTGTCTCTTGTCTCTTCCTCCTCCTTGTCCTTCCTCCTCCTGTCCTCTTCCTCCTCCTTTCCTCTTCCTCCTCTGTCCTCTTCCTCCTCCTTCCTCTTCCTCCTCCTTGTCTCTTCCTCCTCTTGTCCTCTTCCTCCTTGTCCTCTTCCTCCTCCTGTCCTCTTTCTCCTCCTTGTCCTCTTCCTCCTCCTTGTCCTCTTTCTCCTCCTTGTCCTCTTCTCCTCCTGTCCTCTTCCTCCTCTTGTCCTCTTCCTCCTCCTTGTCCTCTTCCTCCTCCTTGTCCTCTTCCTCCTCCTTGTCCTCTTCCTCCTCCTTGTCCTCCTTCCTCTCTCCTTCTTGTCCTCTTCTCCTCCTGTCCTCTTCCTCCTCCTGTCCTCTTCCTCCTCCTTGTGTCCTCTTCCTCCTCCTTGTCCTCTTCCTCCTCCTTGTCCTCTTCTCCCTCTTGTCCTCTTCCTCCTCTTGTCCTCTTCCTCCTTGTCCTCTTCCTCCTCCTGTCCTCTTTTCCTGTCCTCTTCCTCCTCTTGTCCTTCCTCCTCCTGGTCCTCTTCTCCTCTTGTTCTCTTTCTCCTCCTTCCTCCTCGTCCTCTTCCTCCTCCTTGCCTCTTTCTCTCCTTGTCCTCTTCCTCCTTGTCCTCTTCCTCCTCCTTGTCTCTTCCTCCTTGTCCTCTTCCTCCTCCTTGTCCTTCCTCCTCCTTGTCCTCTTCCTCCTCCTTGTCTCTTCCTCCTGTCCTCTTCCTCCTCCTGTCCTCTTCCTCCTTGTCCTCTTCCTCCTGTCCTCTTCCTCCTCCTGTCCTCTTCCTCCTGTCCTCTTCCTCCTTGTCCTCTTCCCTCCTTGTCCTCTTCCTCCTTGTCCTCTTCCTCTCCTTTTTCTCTCCTTGTTCTCTTCCTCCTCTTGTCCTCTTCCTCCTCCTGTCTCTTCTCCTCCTTGTCCTTTTCCTCTGTCCTCTTCCTCTGTCTTCCTCCTTGTCTCTTTCCTCCTGTCCTCTTCCTCCTCTGTCCTTCCTCCTCTGTTCTTTCTTCCTCTTTTTGTCCTCTTTTCTCCTCCTTGTCCTCTTCCTCCTCCTTGTCCTTCCTCCTCCTTGTCCTCTTCCTCCTTGTCCTCTTCCTCCTGTCTCTTCCTCCTCCTGTCCTCTTCCTCCTCTTGTCCTCTTCCTCCCTCTTGTCCTTTCCTCCTCCTTGTCCTCTTCCTCCTCTTCCTCTTCCTCCTCCTGTCTCTTCCTCCTCTGTCCTCTTCCTCCTTGTCCTCTTCCTCCTCCTTTTCCTCTTCCTCCTTGTCCTCTTCCTCCTCGCCGTCTCTTCCTCCTCGTGCTTCCTCTGTCCTCTTCCTCCTCTTGCTCTTCCTCCTTGTCCTCTTCTCTTTCTTCCTCCTCTGTCTCTTCCTCCCTGTCCTCTTCCTCCTTGTCCTCTTCCTCTCCTGTCCTCTTCCTCCTCCTTCCTCTTCCTCCTCTTGTCCTCTTCCTCCTCGTCCTCTTCCTCCTTGTCTCTTCCTCCTCCTTGTCCTCTTCCTCCTCCTTGTCCTCTTCTCCTCCTTGTCCTCTTCCTCCTTGTCCTCTTCCTCTCCTTGTCCTCTTCCTCCTCTGTCCTCTTCCTCCCCTTGTCCTCTTCCTCCTGTCCTCTTCCTCCTTGTCCTCTTCCTCATCATGTTCTTCATCCTCTGTCATCTTCTCCTCTGTCATCTTCTTCATCTTGTCCTCTTCCTCCTCATGTCATCTTCCTCCTCCTTGTCATCTTCCTCCTGTCCTCTTCTCCTCATCTTCTCTCTCTCTTCTCTCCTTGTCCTCTTCCTTGTATCTTCCTCATCCTGTCATGTTTCCTCCTTGTTTTTTCTTTTTTTGCCTTTTTTCTTTGTCATTTATCATGTGTCTTCATCATCCTTGTCATCTTTCATCATCGTCCTCTTCCTCCCTCCGTCATCTTCCTCATCGGTCCTCTTTCATCTTGTCCTGTTTCATCCCTTGTCCTCTTCATGTCCATCTTCCTCTCTTGTTCTTCCTCCTCGTGTCCTCTTCCTCTCTTGTCCTCTTCCTTCTGTATCTTCTCTCTTGTCCTCTTTCTTGTCCTGTTTCTCTCCTTGTCCTTTCTCTGTCTGTTTCTCCTTTCTCTTCTCTTGTCTTTTCTCCTCTTTCTCTTCCTCCTTGTGTTTGTCTCTTCTCTCTTTTTTTTCTCCGTCTTTTCCTTCCTTGTGTCTTCCTCTTGTCTCTTCTCTCCTTTTTTTCTTCATCCTTGTCTCTTCTCATGATATGTTCCTCTTGTTCTTTCCTCTCTTCCATGTCTGTTTCTCTGTTTTTCCTCCTTGTCTCTTCATCTTGTCCTCTTCATCCTTGTCCTCTTCCTTCTTGTCCTCTTCCTCCCCTTGTCATCTTCCTCCTTGTCCTCTTCCTCCTTGTTCATCTTCCTCCTTGTCTCTTTCTCCTCGTGTCCTCTTCCTCCTTGGTCCTCTTCCTCCCTTGTCATCTTCCTCTTTTCTGTCTCTTCTCTGTTTCTCTTCTCTCCTGTCTTTTCTCTTCCTTTGTCTCTTCATCTGTCTCTTCCATCCTTGTCCTCTTCCTCTTGCGTTGTCCTCTTCCTCCTCCTTGTCATCTTCCTCCCCGTCCTCTTCCTCCCCTTGTCCTCTTCCTCCCCTTGTCTCTTCCTCCTTGTCCTCTTCCTCCTTGTCCTCTTCCTCCTCCTTGTCCTCTTCCTCCTCCTTGTCCTCTTCCTCCTCCTTGTCCTCTTCCTCCCCTTGTCCTCTTCCTCCTCTGTCCTCTTCCTCCTCCTTGTCCTCTTCCTCCTCTTGTCCTCTTCCTCCTCTGTCCTCTTCCTCCTTGTCCTCTTCCTCCTCTTGTCCTCTTCCTCCTCCTGTCCTCTTCCTCCTCCTTGTCCTCTTCCTCCTTGTCTTCCTCCTTGTCCTCTTCCTCCCTCTTTTTCCTTGTCCTCTTCCTCCTTGTCCTCTTCCTCCTTGTCCTCTTCCTCCCTTGTTCTCTTCCTCCTTGTCCTCTTCCTCCCTGTCTCTTCCTCTTCCCTCCTCTTCCTCCTTTTCCTCTTTTCTTTCCTCCTTGTCCTCTTCCTCCTTGTCCTCTTCCTCCTTGTCCTCTTCCTCCCCTTGTCCTCTTCCTCCTTGTCCTCTTCCTCCTTGTCCTCTTCCTCCTTGTCTCTTCCTCCCTTGTCCTCCTTGTCCTCTTCCTCCCCTTGTCCTCTTCCTCCCCTTGTCCTCTTCCTCCTCCTTGTCCTCTTCCTCCTCCTTGTCCTCTTCCTCCTCCTTGTCCTCTTCCTCCTTGTCCTCTTCCCTCCCTTGTCCTCTTCCTCCTCCTTGTCCTCTTCCTCCCCTTGTCCTCTTCCTCCCCTTGTCCTCTTCCTCCCCCTTGTCCCTTCCTCCCCCCCTTGTCCTCTTTGTCCCTCTTCCTCCTCCTTGTCCTCTTCCTCCCCTTGTCTTCCTCCTCCTTGTCCTCTTCCTCCCTCCTTGTCTTCCTCCTCTGTCCTCTTCCTCCCCCTTGTCCCTCTTCCCTCCTCCTTGTCCTTCTTCCTCCTTGTCTCTTTCTCCTCCTTGTCCTCCTCTCCTCCTTGTCTCTTCCTCCCCCTTGTCCTCTTCCCTCCCCTTGTCCTCTTCCTCCCCTTGTCTCTTCCTCCTCCTTGTCCTCTTCCTCCTCCTGTTTTCCTCCTTGTTTTTCCTCCTCCTTGTCCTCTTCCTCCTCCTTGTCCTCTTCCTCCCCTTGTCCTCTTCCTCCTCCTTGTCCTTCCTCCCCTTGTCCTCTTCCTCCCCTTGTCCTCTTCCTCCTCCTTGTCCTCTTCCTCCTCCTTGTCTCTTCCCTCCTCTTGTCCTCTTCCTCCTCTTGTCCTCTTCCTCCTCCTTGTCCTCTTCCTCCTCCTGTCCTCTTCCTCCCCTTGTCCTCTTCTCCCTTGTCCTCTTCCTCCTCCTTGTCTCTTCCTCCTCCTTGTCTCTTCCCCCTTTGTCCTCTTCCTCCCCCTTGTCCTCTTCCTCCTCTTGTCCTCTTCCTCCCTGTCCTCTTCCTCCTCTTGTCCTCTTCCTCCTCTTGTCCTCTTCCTCCTTGTCCTCTCTTTCCCTCCTCCTTGTCTCTTCCTCCCCTTGTCCTCTTCCTCCCCTTGTCCTCTTCCTCCCCCTTGTCCTCTTCCTCCTTGTCTCTTCTTCCCTCCTCCTTGTCCTCTTCCTCCCCCTTGTCCTCTTCCTCCTCCTTGTCCTCTTCCTCCTCTTGTCCTCTTCCTCCCCTTGTCCTCTTCCTCCTTGTCCTCTTCCTCCCCCCTTGTCCTCTTCCTCCCCCTTGTCCTCTTCCTCCTCCTTGTCCTCTTCCTCCTTGTCCTCTTCCTCCTCTCCTTGTCCTCTTCCTCCTCTTGTCCTCTTCCTCCTCTTGTCCTCTTCCTCCCCTTGTCCTCTTCCTCCTTGTCCTCTTCCTCCTCCTTGTCCTCTTCCTCCCCCTTGTCCTCTTCCTCCTCTTGTCCTCTTCCTCCTCCTTGTCCTCTTCCTCCTCCTTGTCCTCTTCCTCCCCCTTGTCCTCTTCCTCCCCCTTGTCCTCTTCCTCCCCCTTGTCCTCTTCCTCCTTGTCCTCTTCTCCCCTTGTCCTCTTCTCTCTTGTCCTCTTCCTCCTCCTTGTCTCTTCCTCCCTCCTTTCCTCTTCCTCCCCCTTGTCCTCTTCCTCCCCCCTTGTCCTCTTCCTCCCCTTGTCCTCTTCCTCCTCCTTGTCCTCTTCCTCCTCCTTGTCCTCTTCCTCCCCTGTCTCTTCCTCCCCTTGTGCCTCTTCCTCCCCCTTGTCCTCTTCCTCCTTGTCCTCTTCCTCCCCCTTGTCCTCTTCCTCCGTCTCCTTCCTCCTCCTTGTCCTCTTCCTCCTCCTTGTCCTCTTCCTCCTCCTTGTCTCTTCCTTGTCCTCTTCCCCTTGTCCTCTTCCTCCCCCCTTGTCCTCTTCTCCCCTTGTCCTCTTCCCTCCCCCCTTGTCCTCTTCCTCCCCCTTTGTCCTTCCTCCTCCTTGTCCTTCCTCCTCCTTGTCCTCTTCCTCTCCTTCTCTTTCCTCCCTCTTGTCTCTTCCTCCTCCTTGTCCTCTTTCCTCTCCTTGTCCTCTTCCTCCCCCTTGTCCTCTTCCCTCTTGTCCTCTTCCTCCCCCTTGTCCTTTTCTTTCTTCCCTCTTAGTCTCCGCTGTTTTGGACATCACACCGAGTAAAATAAAACTTGGTCCAAATTTTAGTGATCGAAAAAACACCTTGTTTAAATATTAAAATTTTTTGCTATGGATTAAGTCATTTTGTGTAGTATTAAAACAAAACATTGACTATTTGTTTATGTTCGATTTGTTCCACGTACAGTACTTAGAGTTGTTAATGTTAGATGGCCGTAGAAGTTAATGAAAAGGAAACTATATTAACGTTAGAAAAGGATTGGTGACAAAATGCCTAACTCGTATTTTTTATACATGTTTCTTTGTCTTAATTACATGGAAACTATATTGTTATTGTGTTTATTCTCTTGTGTGTACACACACACACACACACACACACACACACACACACACACACACACACACACACACACACACACACACACACAGTGACCATGACCCTCCACGCTCCGTATGGCAGTCGAGCCGCACTCTTGCCGTCTGTTATGTGTGTGTGATTATATGATACATTGTGGTGGTGGTGGAGGATTTTAATGTGTAATATATAATAATTTTTAAAGCTTGCATATACAGTTACATATTTGTTTGAATTACAAATATACATAATAATAAAATTTAGTCTAATTCATTTAACATCATGAGCAGTGTTTGGAATACACTATTTATTAGTTTGATTTTACATGGTTGGTTTCTTTCTTCTGCATGTGTGGTTGTGTCAAATTTGGCAAGGGTCCGTGTGCGTGTGTGTGTGTGTGTGTGTGTGTGGCTTTGGCGTGTGTCGGGCACCGCAGGCAGTGCAGTCATTTTGACGACCACACTGTCTCCTACTTCCACAGTGACGCCATCGAATACTCACATGAACTCAGACACGCAATCGTCGTAAACACTTCATGACACAGTGTTCCATACCCAGACGGCCTCCAGGTACCACGTGTTAAGTTAATAAGTTCACTAAGCAAATGGTAAGCCTGCTACACCTGTCTTGTTGCTGTTTCTCTTACTGTGATAGTATGGTATTGGTGACGGTGCATGTGTGTGTGCAGTATTTGGTGTGTGTGTGTGTGTGTGTGTGTGTAGTCATTTTAGTGATGATAGTGCAGTGTGGTGTTACTGTACTCCTGGGGCCTGCAGGTGTCAGTCTCTTCACTACTACAGGAAGGATAGACTGTCCCTGAATCGTGGGAGGTATTGTTTATTGACTCAGCTACCACCAGTACCCACCACCATCAGTCACCACCAGTACCCACTACCACCAGTATCCACCACCACCAGTACCACCAGTACCCACCACCACCAGTACCCACCACCACCACCAGTACCCACACACACCCACCACCACCAGTACCCACACCATCAGTCACCACCGTACCCCTACCACCAGTATCCACCACACCCAGTACCCACTACCACCAGTACCCACCAGTCCCACCACCAGTACCCACCACCACCAGGTACCACCACCACCACCAGTACCCACCACCACCACCAGTACCACCACCACCAGTACCCACCACCACCAGTACCCACCACCCAGTCACCCCCACCACCACCAGTACCCACCTCAGTCCCACCACCACAGTACCCACCATCAGTCACAGTACCCACCACCACAGTCCCACCACCACCAGTACCCACCACCACCAGTCCCACCACCACAAGTACCCACCACCGTATCACCACCAGTACCCACCACCATCAGCCACCGTACCCCCACCAGTATCACCACCACCAGTACCCACCACCACCAGTACCCCTCCACCAGTACCACCACCACCAGTACCCACCACCACCAGTACCCACCACCACCAGTACCCCCACCAGTATCCACCACCAGTACCCACCATCAGCCACCACCAGTACCCCACCCAGTATCCACCACCACCAGTACCCACCACCATCTTATTCATGCTTCCTCCTCCTCCCAGCAGGTATGTAAAGCAGTGTTATTATCCTGCTGTCCTTCAGGTAGGGTGGTGGTGTAAGACAATGTTGCCTCCTCCAGGTGCCTTTTATCGTGTTCTCATGTTAGTGTTATTATTAATCACGTCAGTCTGGTCGCGTGAGTAGACGGGTGTTGTGTGTGTGGTGTGTGTGTGTGTGTGTGTGTGTGTGTGTGTGTGTGTGTGTGTGTGTGTGTGTGTGTGTGTGTGTGTGTGTGTGTGTGTGTGTGTGTGTGTGTGTGTGTGTGTGTGTGTGTGTGTGTGTGTGTGTGTGTTGTGTGTGTGTGTGTGTGTGTGTGTGTGTGTGTGTGTGTGTGTGTGTGTGTGTGTGTGTGTGTGTGTGTGTGTGTGTGTGTGTGTGTGTGTGTGTGTGTGTGTGTGTGTGTGTGTGTGTGTGTGTGTGTGTGTGTGTGTGTGTGTGTGTGTGTGTGTGTGTGTGTGTGTGTGTGTGTGTGTGTGTGTGTGTGTGTGTGTGTGTGTGTGTGTGTGTGTGTGTGTGTGTGTGTGTGTGTGTGTGTGTGTGTGTGTGGAAACCCGGCTGAGATTTTCTGTAATAGGCCTGAAGGACTAAAGGCCAGGCACAACTATGAACATGTCAGCTGTTGGCATGAGTTTGCGTGTCTCTTGCGTGCAGTTTAGTTTTCCCTGGGATCACGCTAACCTAACCTAACCTAACCTAATCTAATCTAACCTAACCCTAACTTAACCTTTAGGTATCATTAAGATCATTGTGTTAAATAACTAGGGGTGCCTCACCTTCACGTGCTGGTGTTTGTGGGTGGGTGGATGGGTTGTCGCAGTGGGTGTGGGTGGGTTGTCAGTGGGTGGGTTGTCGTCGTGGGGTGTGGGTGGATGGGTTGTCGTCGTGGGGTTGGGTGGATGGGTTGTCGTCGTGTGGGTGAGTGGATGGGTTGTCGTCGTGAGTGGGTGTGGGGGTAGCGTTGTGTTTTGTCGTCGTGAGTTAATTGGTACGAGGGGGTCAGGTGAGGTGAGGTGAGTCAGACGGGCGGGACTGCGGCAGACACGGGCGCCACAATGCAGCCTGATGCACCAGTCACGTCCCAGCCAAGCTATACTACGGCTCCCCACAGTCACGGCCTGACTCCCACCCGCGACTCCCACTCCATGACTCTTCCCCGCTCACACCCAGCTCCTCCATGACTCCTTCCTCACAGCTCCCACCCTGACTCCCCCATGACTCCACCCCATGACTCCTTCCTCATGACTCCTTCCTCATGACTCCCACCCCGCAGCTCCCACCCCATGGCTCCTTCCTCATGACTCCTCCCCATGACTCCCACCCATGACTCACCCCATGACTCCCACCCCATGACTCCCACCCCCATGACTCCCTCCTCATGACTCCTCCTCCATGACTCCCCCCATGACTCCTTCCTCATGACTCCCACCCATGACTCACCCCGGCTCCCACCCCAGGCTCCCACCCCATGACTCCT